GCCCTGGGAGTCCGACCCTGTGTGTCTCTAGCTTTCACCCTGATCTGTCTTCCTGTACTGCTCTAGCCATTTTTCCTCCAGGACCCTCTGTCTCTCTTTCTGGTAATTTAACATTTATTTGGTACACAAACAACGCATCAGGCTTGTTCCAGGTGCTTTGCAAGTATTAACTCATTAGGTCTACCCACCCACCCACGGGGTTAATACTATTCCCATTTTACAGATGTGGAAACTGAGGCTCAGCAAGTCAATGACTTACCCAAGTCCCAGTGCTAGGAAGGGGCAACTGACTTGAGTCCATGCACACAGTGACCGCCCTAGCCTGTGTCCCTCCTAACTGGTCCCTCCACAGCATGCTGCCTTTTCTGTCATTCTGTCTGCTCCTCTGTCTCTCTACTTACCCACTTCCTCCCACCCCAACTACTTCTTCCCTTCCTCCAGCTGCTACCAGTCATTCTAGGCCTAGTTTGGCCCACTTCATCCTCTGGGAAGCTTTCCAGATTGTTCCAGCCTCTCAACCTGGGATCTTTTTACTCCAGGACTACTCCCTGGGAAGAACCCTGGTCTCCCCACTCAACATGAAAGGCAGGCTCTTCAAGGGCAGGACCCTCACCTACCCCTGCCAAATCACTCCCACATACCCAACCTCCAACGAGGGCCTCACCCAAGCTGCAGCCTGAAGGCTGGTGAGATTAAACCCGGACCCAGAGGGATGTCACTCAGAGCTGCTTGCTCTATCTTCCAGGTCTATTTGGGCCTGGCCCCGAGAAGTGGGAACAGCCAGGATAGGGTGGAACCAGGAAATCACCTCTGCCCCCAACTCGCCCATCGTGTGTCCTCAGGAAGTTCCCTCCCCTCTCTGTGCTCCATTCTCCCCGACTAGAAACCTGGGATAAACATTTCTCTGCTGCCCCCATAGCCTCCTGAGGGTCCATTTAGGTAGTGCGTGCTGAGTGCTTTGGAATCCAACAAAAGCTAGTCAACAGTTCTGTGGCAAGTGCACTGTCCTGTAAGTCCTCCATTGGAAAGAGCTCAGAGCTTCCCTGGGATGATGCACCTCGAGGCAAAATACTATGAGATGCTCAGCAAATCAGACGTCACTCTGTAAACTTGTGTTTGGCTGTGCAAACAGTGACGTGATTTCCACAGTGCAAAGTCCCTGGCAATTAGAACATCCTCTGGAAACTGCAAAACCTTTTGCAAACTCCCGAGCACATTATAATGTACTTTGCCTATGACAACAGACTTCATAAATTCTAATATTTTTTTGTAAAGGGTAAAGAAATATTTGCAAACCGTGAAGGGCTGGATACCCAGCACATGCTATGGAAACAATAAAACATCACATATGCTATCGTGTCCTCTGTCAACTTCACTTTGTAACTGATTTTGTCAATGATTTCTTTACAAATTCTTCTTTTTTTTTTTTGAGAGGCTTTTGCTATCGGGCGCATGTGCTTGCCAGACAGAGAGACAGAAAGCGAGAAATCACCCCCCAGGGGGGATGGCCACGCTGCAATCCCTTCTCCTCCATTCTCCTCTTGGGATCTTTGGCACACACGCACATGTGCCCGGTGTGAGTTTTAAGCCACCGGGTCCGGAACGCGAACCACGGTCGGACTACGTGGAAGTCCAGCGACATAGCCATTACGCTAACTGCTGGTCCCACAAATTCTTTTTTTAAGCGTATTTCTCTCTTTCTTTTTGCTATGGGGTGTGTGCACTCACCAGGAACAAACAGAGACAGAGAGAGGGAGAGAGAGACAGGGAAAGTGACAAATCACACACACATACCCTGGGGAGGGGGAATGGCCATGCCACAATCCCTTCTCCTCCAGTCTCCTCTTGAAATTTGGGACACACACACACATACGCCCAGCATGATTTTCAAGCCACTAGGTCTGGCAAAGTCAGCCATGTGGGATCCATTGCCTTAGCCTCCCTGCCGCCTGCTGGCTCCAAGTGTATTTATTTCTTCTGAGGGAGAAAGGGGAACACCTCCAATTAGGACTTCTTTTTTTTTTTTTTTTCACCATAAGGCACGTGCGCTCACCAGATAGAGAGAGACAAAGAGACAGAAAGCGAGAAATCACCCCCCAGGGGGGATGGCCATGTCGCAATCCCTTCTCCTCCATTCTCCTCTTGAGATCTTGGGCATGCACGCACACGTACCTGGCGTGAGTTTTAAGCCACCAGGTCCAGAAGTCAAACTACAGTCGACTACATAGGAGTCCAGCAATATAGCCATTATGCTAACTGCTGGTCCCTCCAATTGGGTCTTTACACTGCCCTGGTCAGCCAAGTACGTGCAGGGAGGCTTTGGGATGCAAGGTCAGCTATTTTTCAAAACTTGATTGCAACATACAATAAGGTATATCTTTTACATGGTAACCCTTTATACACACATACATTGACATAAAAGAATTCCATTATATCATATTTAACCAGGGCCAGGTGACAGTTATAAGGCAACTGGGCCCACATGGGAAAGGTCTCAGGTTTACATCCTGGGACCTCCCTGAGTGCACCAGGTGTGTATGAACGCGCCAACTGCAATGGGGTAGATGGCAGAGTGGGTTCCCTGTGGGGAACGTTTGTCATTCTCAAATAAATAGATTTTTAACTGTATTTAATCCTTACTATGTTCTATGTACTATAATATCTTTTGTTCTTTTCCATTTATTTATTTATTTATTTTTAAAGAAACAGATTGTTGCTATAGGGTACACGTGCTCACTGAAGAGATAGAGAAACAGAGACAGAAAGTGAGAAATCACCCTCCCGGGGGGATGGCCATGTTGCAATCCTTTCTCCTCCATTCTCCTCTTGGGATTTGGGACACACATATATGTACATCCAGCCTAAGTTTAAGTCACCGGCTCCGGTACTTGAACTGCAATTGACTACGTAGGAGCCCAGTGATCATTACGCCATCCACTGGTCCCTGTGTTTCATTCTTTATAATGTTGTCCACGATCCTGCAAATAGACTTCATGGGTCCCAAAATTTCACTTGAAATGCCCCAGAACCCTCTAACCTAGCAGATAACAAAAAGCTTGGTAAGCTTTGGCTGATGTGGCCTACAGAATACTACCCAAATGACTACTCAAAATGAAACATACGTTATCAAATGTAACTAAATTTTGTGGTTGCTATCTTACTTTAAAAATTGTAGATTTTTTTCTACCTCTGCAGCTGTCCCAGATGGGGTCTCTGGACCTCCCACCTGTGCCTGTGCCCACTCCACGCTCAGCCCAGCCTTCTGGGCATCACTCACCTTTCTTTTTGTCCGGGGCCTCTCGCTCAGCTGGCCGTCCACCCCCTGACAGGCGGAAGGAGCCCTCACGGGCGAAGCTGGTGCGGCTGGCATCAAAGGCGGCTGTGACCCCACATTCCTTCTCCCGTCGCTGTTTCCGCTCCAGGCAGGCGGCAAAAGCACAACCCACAGCATGGCTCAGCCTCTCGCCCTGCGGGGGTTGGTTAGAGACTCTGTGTTTTAGGAGTGGACTCCAGGAGCCCCAAGTTCCAACCACTAGGTGATGGGCGACTCTGGATGAGTGTATCACCTTTCTGGACCTCGGTGCTATCTGCACCATAGGAACGTGACAAATGACAAATGACATGGCCTGGAGTGAAGAAAGCCAGAAACAAGTGAGAGTTGTTTATTTATTTATTTATTTATTTTTGGTCATTTGCCACAGGACACGTGAGAGAGAAGTGAATGGGAAGTGTCACATCACAATCCCTTCTCTTCCATCTATCCATCTTTTCTGGATCTTAGGCCCACACGCCTGGTGTGTTTCTCAAGTCCCTGGGTCCATGACTCAAACCACACTGTTTGCCATGGGGGATCAGGCTGCTTTAACCACCAGGCCACCAGGCTACCAGCTGGCTCAAACTGACTTTTTTTTTTTAAGGCTAGAGTTTTTTTTTTTTTAATTTTATTTATTCATTCATTTATTTTAATTTGATCAGAGAGAGAGAGGAAAAGTGAGAACGCAAGCCACCAGGTCTAGGACTCGAACCATGGTCTGCCATGTGGGAGTGTCCAGCGCCCCAACCACCACGCCACCTGCCGGTCCCTCAAACTGACTTCTTCAGGATAACTCTGGGTTCCCATGCAAATTTCAAAAAAGAGAGAGGGAGAAAGTGAGAAAGAGCCAAGAGGAAGTCGTATTGCAATTTTGGACCGAATCTGGGAAATCACACAGCCTGACCGTTTCTTTTTTTCTTAATTGAGAGAGATTTTTGCTATACGGCATGTATGCTTGCTAGAGACAGAAAGCAAGAAACCACACCCCAGGGGAGATGGCCATGCCACAGTCCCTTCTCTATTCTCCTCTTGGGATTTTAGGCACACACAGACATGCACCCAGCATGAGTTTTAAGCTGCCAGATCTGGGACTTGAACCACAGTCAACTACACAGGAGTCCAGTGTATTACCCACCTGCTGGCCCCACGTCTGACTTTTTCTTTTTTTTTTTCTGATGTATGTCAAAGTTGAAGATATCAGAATATGTCCCCCTAAACATCTCAGCATTCATATCATTAAGTCGAATTAATTTTTCTGTATCCTTCGTTCATGAAATGAAATAAACAAACTTAAAAGAAGAAAAAGGACTGGGGGAACTAAGACATGCAAGGCATCCAGCACAAAGCCAGGCTCAGAGAACACCACGCGTCTGTCTGGTCCTGGGCTGAGCTCTAACTTGCACCCTCTCTTGGGCTCCTCATGACAGTCAGGAGATGGGGACTTTTTTTTTTTTTTTAGCAAGACATTTTTGCCATAGAGCACATGCACTCACTGGAGAGACAGAGACATCGGTCATGGAGATGGCCATGCCACAATCCCTTCTCCTTCATTCTCCTCCCGGGATTTTGGGCATGCATATGCACACACGCCCAGCATGAGTTTCTAGCCTCTGAGTCTGGGACTCGAGCTGCAGTCAACCATGTAGGAGTCCAGTGCCTTAACCACGATGCCTCCTGCTGGTCCCGAGAGGGATACTCTCATGAACGAATGAGGAAACTGAGGTCCAGGCCGCACAACAAACCAGTGTCAGAGCTGGGATTCACAGGAAATGTGTCTGACTTGTTTCCTAATCAAGTTTCTTAGTCATCTATTAGGGTTAAACTTTACCATCAAAACTATTTTGAAAAAGAACAAAGTAGAATTTTACTTCTCAATTTCAAAATTTGCTACAAAGCTACATTAATCAAAATGATGGTTCTGGTAAAAGGACTGACACACAAACCAATGAAACAGAATGGAGAGTCTAGAATAAACCAACACATAAACAGTCGGTTGAGATTTTTTTAAGGCTTTTAAATTAATTAATTAAATTTTTTATTATTATGATTTTAAAATTTGCTATAGGGCATGTGCACTCACTACAGAGAGATGAGAGAAAGAGAGTGAGAGTGAGAAAGCAAGCCACCAGGTCCGAGACTCAAACCGGTGTCTGCCACGGGAGAGTTCAGTGCCTTAACCATCACCCCACCTTCTGGCCCTGTCCATTGGTTTTCTTTATTTTTTTAAATTATTTATTTAATTTTATTTATCATTATTATTATTTTTTTAATTTGCTACGGGTCACAAGGCTGGGACTAGAATCGTGATCAACAACATGGGAGTCCAGTGCCTTAACCACCATGTCACCTGCTGGCCCAATTTTCTTTCTTTCAAAAATTATTTTTTTCTGAGAGGTTTTTGCTATAGGGCACATGTACTCATCAGAAAGACAGAGAGAGACAGAGAGAGACAGAGAGACAGAAAGCAAGAACTCAATGGGAGTCCAGTGACATAGACATCACACCAACTGCTGGTCCTGTCTTTTTTAAATTTTTAAAAAATTTATTATTATTATTTTTAATTTGACCATAGAGAGAGAGACAAAGTGAGAAAGCAAGCCACCAGGTCCGGGACTCAAACCAAGGTCACCCGTGTGGGAGTCTAGCACTGTAACCACCAAATCACCTGGCAGCCCCCATTTTTAAAAAATTAATTAATTAATGAAACCAACAGATGGCATAATGTTTATGTCACTGGACTCCCACATAGTCAACTGTGGTTCAAGTCCTGGTGGCTTAAAACTCATGCCAGACATGTGTGTGTGCGTGCCCAAGATCCTGAGAAGAGAATGGAGGAGAAGGGATTGCAGTATGGCCATCTCCCCTGGGGGGTGATCTCTCACTTTCTGTCTCTCTGTCTCCCTCTGTCTTTCTGGTGAGTGCAAGTCCCCTATAGCAAAAACCTCTCAAAAAAAAAAAAAAAAAGTATACTAGCAAGAAATTAAAAAGAAACTCCACAAAATGGGGGAAAACATTTGCAAGTCATGTATCTGACAAATGTCTAGTATCCAGAATATACTCTAAAAAGAAGCTTTATGGGACCAGCAGTCAGCTTAATGGCTATGTCGCTGGACTCCCATGTAGTCGACCGTGGTTCGAATCCCAGACCCGGTGGCTTAAAATCATGCTGGGCACATGTGTGTGTGTGCCCAAGATCCAGAGAGGAGAATGGAGGAGAAGGGATTGCGGCGTGGCCATCCCCCCTGGGGGGTGATTTCTTACTTTCTATCTCTCTGTCTCTCTGTCT